ACCACCCGCCGGGCCGCAATACGTCTGCGGCATCTTAGTTGTGCTCCCGTACTTCGGCTGGCAATGAAGTGCCAGTATACGCTGACACATACTAGCACTTCATTGAGAAAAACAGAAAGCACCACAACCATTCGTTCGTGTCGCACCTTCCAAGTGTTCCTGCATGCAAAAGGTGGCTTAGTGGTGGCTCGCTGGGGCAGCTTTGGGCAGCATGAAGCTCCCCATGGCGTGACGGCGGAGTTAGGTGACCAGAAAAGTATTGAACTTTGGAGTTTCACAACCTCAGGATGTATTAGCGCGACATATGTATGAACGGACTATGACGTTAAAAAACGGATGGGCGCATCGTCTGTGTCGTGAACCCTTCTATTGTGGTCGCACTAATACGTGTTGTGCCGAAATAATCTCTATATTTACAACATACTGGCACAAGTGTATGCATGATGAGCAGCTGTCATCTGAGTACATGGTACTTTGCTAAATGTCGGTAATATTGCATTATAATTTAGCTCCTACCAGGGCTCGTCCATTTAGTCGTCTGACATTAAGAGAACCACACTATTCCGCGCATTGCGTGGTGTGCGACTGTGGTCCTTTGTTCACCGAAATGAAGGTACTGGGCCACAGTGGACAAGTGTACCGAACTTTTGGAATGTTTTGCATTAAAAGAAAGGCGCAGATTGTGCTAGCCAACCGTCGGTATGTCAGGAAGTGTTCTGCTGCTCTCGACATCGGCTTTACAGTGCTTCCGCATTTTTGAGGGCCACACACCACGAGTAGGCACCATCATCGCTGATATGTGATTGGTTGATGGTCAGTGCGCCGATTTTCTCGCTCTAAGCATGCTTGAGTACGGCAGCGCATGAACGTGGCTACGTGTTTTTGTTTCATAGTTTGCAGGCTTTCTCTAAACACCAGAAAAAAATGACCACGCAGCATGCACTATGTCAAAAAACATTGATTCGGTAGTTTAGGAATGCCCTCTACCACGTAAAAAACACGCTTGGTCTCAAAATGAATATGTAAAACTTTTCATGATTACCCTAACTTATTTAGCATGGTTGAGTAATACACTAACGAGTGACTAATGAGAGCAAACTATTGGTTCCTGGTATCATTCAGGTTTAGTTAACCATTTTTCTTGTATTTATTTATTTGAAGTTATGTGAATTGATTGTGATTCAATGAAGAATGTTCGTTGGTCCTCCAAAACACAGATCTTTATGCCGTGGGACAGTTTGACTTGAGAACTGGGTTGGCTGGGCCACTTCGCCGGCTTGGTGGACAGCCCAGAGTTGCCCTGCCAAGACCGATCTGCGGATTGCCACCTTCCATCTGGCAGAGGTGAAGTTAGCTTGTCTGACCCAGTGCCAGAGCATGTGGCCTAGTGAAGCTAATGACAATATCAGTGGTTTCCTAAAACCACCATATCACTATTAGAGACGCCTTAATGAAAGGCTCCGGAAATTTTGACCACCGTCCACTGACTTCGCACTGTACACGGGCCTCTTTCATTTTGCCTCCATCCAGATGCGACCGCCTCTTACGGGATCAAACCCCTGACCTTTGAATTTGCAACCGAGCACCGTAGCCACTGTTACACCGAGGCGAACGCCTAGTGAAGCTTCTTTCTCTCATTTTGGACGAATATTACCCTGGTCTAGTCAAGGGTTATACCTGATTATTAACATTTTCAAGCTAGCATGCGTCTTCGTTTCAAGTAGTCTTAAAGAGACAGTAAAGAGGAAGAATGACTAAGCTTAGATTGACAAGCTGCACACTGAAAACCGTGATGACGTTTGAATATCACAAACTTATTATTAGCGAAAAATATCAAGGTTGAAGATTCATTCCTAAACTTCGCGCGGGATATCTACGTGGAACGCGAAAAAAAAATCAAAATGTCTTCTTCGTATTTATACGACATTGGTTCGATGAAAGTTTCTCGAACTTTGTATGTTGAGTCTATGACGTCCACATATGAAAATTTACTTCATATTTGCCGATTAAAAGTTACTTAGGGCCCAGTTGACGCCTCCAAAACCTATGACGGCATTGTATTTGGAGCGCGAATTTCAAGGTGGCGCCTCCATCCGCATTTTCCCTTTTCGCGTTTTATCGCTTACCAAGCGTCGCCTTTGGTGAGAATGCTGTTTTCGGGATTGGGAAAATGTAGCTTATTAATACGCAAAAATCGTTTTCTCTTCAGCGGCCCTTGATAGCGTGAATTGAGAGCCTAGCGCGACCTTTGTGACATGCACGGAGACGCTCTTGCATAGATAGAATTGATAAGTCAGCTCAATATATCTTGTCGTATTTTCTACGTTATACCCTTCGGCGGTCCAACCATGACCAGGATATGGGGCACCTGCACGTAGCGACATCTTTCGTTAGCCACGGTGGTGGCCGGCCATGACTGAGTGATAAGTAGGCGAGTTGCGAGTCAGCACCTGTTTGTGCTTCTTGTTTTGTTTGTTCACGTGCCGTGCGTGCTGATTCAGAATGAAAGCCTGCCAACTTGCTCACGTTTCTATTCTTAAGTATGTTTAATGCTCGCCTAGAGCTGGTGGTGTGTCTAGTCACTTAAATTGTCAATAGCATCGTGGAAAGCCGCACCCGAGATTGAATCCTGCAGCAAAAAAAAAAAATGTCTAGGGTATATTTTTGTTTGTTCTAGCTAACGCTAACAGAACGTTAGGCGAATGGTTCTAACGCTGCCTTTAAAACAAACGTCACTGTCATTGTCTTGAGTCTTTGGTTGACATCATCACTCCGGGAAATGAAGACAACGTAGAACGAACGCGGAAAGTCTTCGAACCCGTTAGTACACATACTAACATTCACAGTTAGAACTATTTTAAGAATTACACAACCCGGCGATTCTTCGATTCACGACGAAGTGAACGGGCATCTCGAGCATCTCGAGACCCTCTTGTGCTTTTCAGTTTCGTTTGTTCATTGCAATCGATCTTACGCAAACCACGCGGTATTTCCAAGGCGAGTATCTTAGATCTCCCTGTTTTATTGAATACGTATAAGCGGCAATCGCAAGACTCTACTCACTGACGGCAACCGAGCAGCCCGGAAAGGTTGGACGGTGGAACGCACCCAGCCAAGGCCTAGAGAATTGTGTGGTAGGCCAAAAGGCGTCGGTAGCGCTAGATGAGCCACGACTAGCACGAAATTAGACGTGGCTTGCGGGGCATGAATCTAGCTAGGCACACATACACTTTCGCCTTCAAGCCGCCATATAGCAAAGTTTATGAGGAACCGCTGTTTATTCGTGATAGAAATAAGATTTCGGATTATATCATTAAGGTTTCCGCAACTACTTTTATGCGCACACACACGAACATAGCAAAATACGCATACAGATCAGTAGCACAGCTACGAGGGAGAAAGTGATAATGAAGGAAAGAACTCAATTTGTTTCCATGAATGATGAGCACGAAGAGAAACAAGCCTGTGTCTGATGCACGTATGTCAATAGTAGACTTGCATAAAATGTGTTCAGCTTGACGTATTACACTAGCTAACTGCAACATGTGCTTCAGCGTTGCTTTGTTATTAATAAGCTTGGCTAGTGGAACAGCCTGACCTTCTCTAATAGTAATTTTGCACGTGTTCGATCATTAGAATTAATCAAATACTTCCAGGGAGTAGTGCTGTTATAGCTTATAGGGGTGAGACCACACTATGTCAGTCGCGTGTACACGTAAGCTGTTTTACGAATATTCACACAGCTTGTGGTCTGCCTCCTATATGTAGAGACATATGCATGTACCGCGTGAAGCTGCATAAAATGTGCAATGAGAGTACTACAAGAAGCAAGTAGAGTTAACTTGAACAGATATTATGAGCGCAAAAATTGAACATCTGAAAGCCAAAATGTGAAGCCCAACGGAAACAACAACTTTAACTAAATTGCCCCGTGCGCATACAGGCTTGCCAGAAACACTCCTCTGTTCACGTGGAAGAACCTGCAAGTGATTCTCAGCTGGAAACTGCATCTACTCGCACGAAGTGCCATTCGTTGTGAGCCTTCTTGCAGTCAGTCAAGGGTCTGACCCAATCATTTATGGTAAGAGTGAAAAATTCGCGCAAGCGTTAATCAATGCCGACCAAAGGGAAATGTGAAGACTGCAGTGTGGGGCCAACATTTTACAGCTTGGTCAGCGTCCATAAAAATTTTAATAAGTTTGGTATGACCTATCGTAGACGATGCTTTTACATGCCGATGTAGTGCACTGGGTCTGTCCCTTTAATTTATGCTTTGGAATACACAGTTAAAATGAGCGAGGGAACGACACGTTAGAACACGTTGATTTATGCTCCACTGCAGTGTTACGCAATGCAGCTGCCTATGTTTGGCCGTATACATAGTGCTCAATCTTAACACACCGCGTTTGAAAATTTGGATGCCATTCGGAAAGTATTTTTGTTTGGGCTAGCTGTTTCATAGCACTCATATTGAAAGGACAGCGCAACGACACGAGGAAAGAAAGGCAGAGGGGTTCTTTGCCTCTTTGTCTCTTTGCCTCTTTGCCTCTTTGCCTCTTTGCGCTCTTTGCCTTGGAGTGTTTCTTTCCTCATGTCATTGTGCTGCCCTTTCAAAATGAGTTTTGGAAAGCGCAGCGCTTGTTATAGCTGCTCGCACTGTGCAGGGATGTTTTCGGAACGAGTAGCTTCGCTTTGCTGCAGGAACGTTTGAGGCCCGTTTCTAAATAGTATGCCCGAAGCGGCGCTCACAATCAGATCTCGAAATTTGCAGCGAAACTCAGCCGACGTGCTGTGTGAAAATGGAGCTGCCGGTCCAACATCTTCATAACAGTTACAAGGCTCCTCCGGGAATATTCTGCTGCATTTAAAAAATCTTTAACCGAATGAGAACATGCTCATATAGAAGTTAGCGAACATGCAGCGTGCAAGCTCGATCTTCATGGTTTGCGTCACGGCGAAGATTGCTAAGCAACTGAAAGAAAAGCTTATATCCGGCTTACGTGATCGGGAATGCACCTTTTCCGCTTCAGATGCCAGGGAACCTGCAAGGACAAGAATAAGAGGATCCTAGAGCTCCGCCTTTGGGAATTGAACGCGATAGGAATAGCCTGTTCCTAATGCGTACTACAAACACTTGGTGCATGAAACCTTTTCCAACATGCTATGCACCCACTTTGTGACCGTAAGAGAATAGGCGAAGTAGCGTGTGTGCTTTTTGTAGTGGGTGACCGGCTTTAAAGCTTAAAAGCCTCAGGATAATCGCATGTTCTGCCAACTGATGGCAATGGGCGCTTGCACCACATATTATTACCGCAATATATTACGTTGCGCTGTGAAGCACGTATCCGGAATGCGTGTGTTTGTAAAGCATGAAATCTTCTTTAACTTCATATCCAAGCAGAGGAAGTTTTTTTAACTGCACTCACAAGCATACCGCGTGGCTGTTCCCAGAAGTACAAGCCACTTTGGAACAGAGTCGAAAGTCTATAGAACACTACGCACATTGGCTGCTGCTTCTTGGAAAACAGACTTAGTCGAGTGAGGTGTCTCAGCATGTCTGTCAATCACGGCAACTCGTTCATAAAGAATAAAGGCACAATAACATAATAAATCGTATGGTGCATTATTGTTGATGGTCTTCTTGAACGGTAGGAACCCAACACCACAAACTGCAGAGGAAATTCTTTTCTGATGTGTTTTTTAAGAATGTCCCAGAAATTACACGCATCACGGCAATGAATAAAACAATGCTAGATTGCTTCAAGAGGGAATTGGACTTCTGGACATGTGTGATTGTTTACCAAATTTTTGAAGGTTCGCTGGACTTTACGACTTGCGCATGTGTGCATGCAAGCTTAATTTTCAAACGATGAATTGTATACTTCTATGCGACAACCTTTGATTGCAATATTTCTACGCATTAAAGAAAAAAGCAGACACGTAGACGTGGAGTAGAACAACCGCTTGTCACGCGGACTACCCGGGTTCGATCTCCACTCGGACCGAAACGACCCTCGTTTGGTTGCCTCTATCACCAAGGTTTTTTGTTTTATTTGCGTCGTTCTTGATTTGTGGGGCCCGCCTTTGATGAGGACTTTTCGCTCACAACAATCGTCGATGCCGACACCACCGGCGGAATTTCTGCGAAACGTGCTCTTTAATAGTTTCGCGTTAAAAAAAAAACTGCTGCTACTTTGACCAATCTAGATGCCGAACCACCAGCCGACGAAGAAAGGAACAGAGAGCGCGCCCGTTCTAGGCTACGCAAAGTAATGTGGCAATTAAGCTAGCATTGATTTTTGCTAAGATTGCCACAAAGACGACTCAGACAACATTGAGCCTATTGGGCGTTGCATAGTGCAAAGGTGTGGCTTTAAAGCAAGAATTGAAACAGTGGTGAACACAAGCAGATGAGAGCAGGATGCTTTGTTTCACGTTATGTTGAGAACCCAGGCGTGCGATGCTGCTAAGGGCTCCCGCCCTCTTCCTTAAGGCGTAAATCACACCTATCATTGATGAAAGCCCTGAAAAGGATGGGCTTCATCCTGAGGACCGCCGGACGTCTCCGTTCAACTCCGTAAGAAAGTCGTGCCAGATGCTACCTGCTGAAAGCGTAAGAAGGTTCTGTCGCTACAATGCGAATATACTAGGTATAATGAAAAATTAAACGTTAGTTTCTAAATAAGAATATTTGTATGCACCTAATAGAGTCAGTCATACAAAATATACCACAATTATAGATAACACTGTATGCAGATTGGTTGGATTATTTTGTGGTGGTCCTCTCTAACAAACATGAGTGGTTGCGCATATAAGAGAAATTGCGACTTTGCTAAAAGGTAATTACAAATACAAGTTACCTGCGAACACGGGATGTTCCTTTCAAGGAGCTATTTACAAGCTTAAGAACAGCCTGACAAGCACGTCGCATGGAAGGTGAGAACATGAAAGACCGGTACTCTTTCGCACCCCTCACATAACTTCCAATGCAGATTCTGCGTGAAGTATATTTAGGGCCACTGAACAACGAATATTCTCTCTTGCGTTTTCTCTGTTGCGCGACATTCTGACTGGCATTTCCCGCCATAGTGCCATACTTCGTGATGCCAACAGATTCTTCACCATACGTCTGTATGAAATAAGCTCTCGAGTGGTGCATTTACTATAGATATCTGTTATGAATTGTCTCCTGCCCCACTTTGTCATGCAGTCGTATGTCTGTTCTGCCTTGTATCGCATGACTACCGGTCACGGTAAACAAATTTCGCTTCGTTTTCTGTTTTTGTGACAGCGCAAGTGGAGGTAGCAGTGTGAGGTCGAAAAGTGCAAACTCCTGACTTGCCCAACGCTTAGCGCTCTCATTCCACGTGTTTTATGAAGGCATAAGTGGACAGGAGTAGAAAAGAGTAGTGATGACAAGAAAGACACCATTGTCTCCCCTTTGAACTCGGTATGAATCAGGGGCCCTTTAAGTCGCGTATGGTTAGCATCTTAAGCCGTTACGCCAGCTGGGCTTCAACCCGCTTGTGCAGACGTACTGAAGCTGGCAGTGGAGAAAAAGTGGTCATATCAGTTGGCCCGAATTTGCACAGAATTGTGGGCTTGAAAGGGCACTCGAACTTCGCTTATTTTTTAAAACTCACTCTCTACATGCTCACTATGTTTGTTAGCTAACAAGGGGAAAGTATGGTGCTAAAGGTCAAATGTGTATGCGGCACTATATTAGAAGCACTATATAGGGGTTCAACACACGAAGCCTTGAAGAAGGCATTGCGGAGTTCATTCTGACCACCGTATTCCAGAACGTTCCTTCACTCAATGCTTCACCTTGACTTGAAAAAGTCGATGGGAGCGCCGTCTCTATGGAGGCCAAGTCACTGCATATCGGCAATATTCTGCAGCGATTCTTGACAAGCACAGTGCCAATTTCAGTCGAGCAGTGGCGCAGTGCTCAACTCAGTCGAGTGAAGGACAGAATTCGAGTCGAGCAGTGTTTCTGAATACGGGGGTAAGTGTTCCTGAGTTACGCAATTTTAGACTTTTTTTCTACCTGGCGACTTCATTTGCTATTGAAATACTTGTATTACATGTTGCAGCTGGTAGTCGTACTTCTTAGTGTAATATACAAATCTATTTTGGCTTCATATAGCTAAGTTATCTACCTTCATATATCTTATTGTTGCATTCACATCTTTGATAATTATGCTGCACAAGCTGGCACAAGCGGCCTTTATCTACAATGTCGCCTATTTATGCGCAGTTATTCAAGGACCTCAGAACAGTGACACATTTTGAAGCCAGCCATGCTGCCGCACGCATTACGACTGCTAAGACATCTCTAGGGACCATGAAACGGCGATGAGTCGCTCATACGTAAGTGCTTAACTTTTATAAGTAAAAATAGCTGCAACATGCCTCTGTTTCTTGCGTCCCCATTCACCATTAAGCGAAGTTGCTGCAATCCGACCCACCTGCAACAAACAGGAACAAACAGAGTAGAACACGGGGTTCCATGCTGAGCATCGTGACGTGTTCAAAGGCAGCGAACAGCCAGGCCAGCTAGGGCGCCTATATAACCGAGAAGACAGTGGGACCCGTCAACCAGCTTTCCTCCTCTCCTTCGTCTCTTACCTCGAGCAAGTCGCGATCGGCTCGCACGGGCGCCGCGTCTCGAGTGGCGCGCGCCCTAGGTCTGCACCGGGAGAAGCAGCAGATCTTCTTCGTGGAATTCCAAGGCTCAAATTTTAAGTGGTGAACTTAGACATCACCTTCGTCGGGTGTTACGGGGCACCCACGCGCGTTTACTCATTAACGCAAAGCGTGGCAGGCGCTCGCTCAGGCCCTGACGATTATGGCTGGTCGTTTACGCCCCATCTGAGTGCACCTCCTGAATGGAAGCGTCTGTCATATTTACTTTCTCGGTCGCAGTTACAGCTTAGTTTGACTGTCAGCCGCTCTAGCAGAAGATGATCCCTTTTTGGGAATCCGCCCGTCGCAACTTTTCTGCGCTAGTGCGTGCTCTAGAATAAAAAAATAACATGTCACACATAAGGGCACCATTTATGAGAGGCACGGCGTCAAGCGATGTTGCCGGAGAAACGAGGGCGAGGGGGGTTAAGAAAACGGCCGCCTTTACATTTAAAGCACCAAAAAGAAGATGTGCGGGAGAGGGTCTGAAGGGTCGACTTCGCCATACTGCCTATCAAAATAAATAAAAAACTGCTTTTAATGTGCTGCGTTCAACATTAGGTGAGCGTTTTATAGGCCAATGACGGCGTAAGCGATCCTCCATGCAGGGTTTTACATGCCGACACCACAATATGATGACGAAGACCACCTGAAGAAGAATTCCAGGATTTATTTTGAGCAGCTGTGGTGTTAATATATATATATATATATATATATATATATATATAGTGAGCGCTGACTATGTACTTCATCTTCATCTGTATAACCAAACCATTGTAGTGATCATCATCGTATGTCACGTGGGCTGGCTCTCTGGCTCGTGCGTCTGGATTAAAAAAGGATAACCTGGTTGCTGCCGTACCGGACGTGGTCTCATAATATATATATATATATATATATATATATATATATATATATATATATATATGACGTATGAAGTGATGGTTGGTAGAGGCAGAGGAAGAAGAAGAGCTTATGGAATAAACATGGGGTATGAGCCAGGCCACGTCTCCCGCATCTAGCGTCACATAAGTCGGCGGGATGAAGACCTGGCCACCACTCATCAACCTCACATCATTCACGAAGCCACCTGCAGTACGCCTCAACTGAATATCGACCAAAGAAGAGGTGATCTCAGGCGCATTCAGTTACCGGCACCATGACAGAACCATCGACTGACCTCGACATCCCCAAGTACACCGGATCAGCGGATGATGGACCCGTACAGGACTGGTTCAACCTATTCGAGCTCCACACCGCCGCTGCATCCTGGTCGGAACGGGAGATGATCATCAACTTCACTGACTACATCTCCGGTGAGGCATTTAAGTTTTACCTCACCCACATCTTTGAAAATGACGAATCATGGCAAAAAATCAAAGAGGAGATGATTACCCGTTTTAACGACTATGACCAAGACCTACTCATTGCCAACCATCTAGAGACAACCGCACACTATCATCAATTTTTTTAAGCAGTCCTCAATCATTCGAAAGCCCAGCGCGAATCGACAACTGCCTTAAGACGAAGTGCACATGAGTTTACTTACAGAAGGCCATGCCTATATTGGGAAAAACCTAACCGTCAAGCGCGCATCCTTTCTGCGCGAAAGTCAGCATTTCCGAAGTCATCGCTCCAACATGCGACACGAGACGTCGCTCACCCTACTGATGCCTTTCATGCTTCGTCTCGCATACATGGTCCACCACCTGGTTTTCTACGACGCAGCTCTTCAAAGGTTCCTAACGGTCACTATTCGTGTCATAAGGACGCCTTGTTGATGGTAGACCAGCTGACACATGAGGAAAATTCCGAACAACGCCATGACGACTCAAAGAGTGAAAATCAGTCTTCACACATTGTATCAGCTTATTTTCCAACTACCACAATTGGGCCACCTCCTGGATTTCCGTCACTTGGCTCTTTCGCCGCTCACAATCGCCCACTTCACATCTAGCACGCTCACAATAGTCGGGATAGAGCTGCGGAGCTCGGGGAATACTCAGCCAAGCCCTGAACCTACCATCCAGATTCAGGCGCAAGAACCACTCGCAGCGAACAGCGAAGAAGAAGCCCCTGATGATGTATCTATCAACTCTGAAGCATTACCTTCATTACCCGAAATGCAGCACAACAGCCTAGAGACTACTACCTGCCCACTCGACACCACATTCAATTGCCCAGAAAGTCAGTGTCACGGTGAAAAAGGGCTGCCACCTCAGGTCTTTTCGCAGCAACATCATCAATGCCAGCAAGTCCAAGAACAACAGAGATTCCAAGGGCTATACGAAGAAGGACGACGACGAATGGAATCATCTTCGGAAGAACACCCGCGGTTTAAGGAAAGCCGTTTACAAACGTGTCAACCAAGCCAACGACATATTCAAGATTTCTCGCCCGAAACAAAGAAAGCATCGAATCCAGGATATTTTCCCAAGGGACGTCGAGTAAGCTTTCTCCAGTCGAGATCAAGACTCAGGCAACACGACATACAACGTCGAGAAAGGCGCCAAACCATACCCTGTATTCTGCGAGGACGCAGAAATCACCGCACCAGCCTCGGTCAACAAGCACGCAAGCGGGTGGCGACGCATGGGTTCCGATCAAGACAAATAGCACGACACCTGCGCAAATCATCCAGCCAATGCTTCAAGGCCATCACACAACGTTCACTCATCGCAAGAATGCTTCCATCTGATTCCACGCTCAAAGCATGCTTATGTTGTCCAGAGCGCAACAGCCAGCCTCGCCCTCCAGAGCTGTACTTGATACCCCGGATTGCTGTCCTCTCCTGTGAAGCTATAGTGTGTTAACGGAAACTTCCTCGGACATGGAATGATCTCTTTTTGACAGTGTTCAGTTCTAAGCCGTACACGTTCAGTTTTCATTCATGTTCGTCTGAAGCGACTTCTTTCGGGGGGAGGGGGAATCCTGTAACGTAAGAAGGTAGGGATGGTTAGGAGTTAGTAGTAGAGGCAGAGAAGGAAGAAGTGCAGAGAGGAATAAACATGGGGTATGAGCCAGGCCACGTCTCCCATTCATCGTAGCGTCATATATATATATATATATATATATATATATATATATATATAACCTGCTCACGGCTGGTTATTAATTCATCGACTTTTCTTTCTATAAGATGCGGAGCATCTTATACTCGCGCCTTGTAGTGCGCCGTCCGCGCCGTCCGCACCGCTTCTCGAACATTCGACAGCTGACGCGCGCGCATGCGCCGTCGCGCCGTCGCCCACTCTTCCATCATCTGTGCATCCCTTCCTCCTCTACACACCGCGCGCGCTTCACTCCTCCACCATCTGTGCACCCTTCCTCCTCTACACACCGCGTTCGACATCTACAATTCTCCTGATTCTCCAGTGGACGCGCATGTGGCGTCGCGCTTCGAGAAGATTCAACAGCTGACAGTGCATGCGCCGTCGTGCTGTATATATACTCAAGGTCGGCGCTCGCTCGCTCAGTTGCCGCTCGTCGGTTGGTTTGTACGGCGCGTCGACGTCCAAGGTCACGGTGAAATGAATTCCAACGAATCCACAAACACAATGATCGACGTCCCTTCGACCAGCGCCGCCCTTTCGCATACGTGTGTACGTGTTCACTCATTTAACACCCCCTCCTACAACCGCGTTAACCAATTTAGCCATCGACCCAAGTAAGTCGCAATTTAACACCCCATTTCACAACCACGTTAACCAATTTAGCCATCGACCCAAGTAAGTCGCACTTTAACACCCCGTTAACCAATTATATGGTCCGCGTCCTCCTCAGTGTTCCCCCGAGGGAAGCTGCGGGCAATTTTTTATTTACATTCTATTGGTTCTAATAACTTCCCCAGTACATTCCTTTGCATTACTGTCTGCTAGAGCTCATTATTAATGTGTTAAAACACGGAAAAAACGAGAGCTTAGGTATACACTCCTTTCCCTTATATATATATATATATATATATATATATATATATATATATATATATATATATATTGTCACACGTAATGGGTATCAGCCATCAACTCTAGGTGGAATCCTTTGGAAGTGAAGAAAGAAGAGGGCTTTTGCTTCCTGGTCTGAGGGCAAGCAAGATGTCGATTCGTCGCTGTCTGTTGTTACGTTCACGGCACTGGTCCTCGAACGACACCTGCAAGTCTCGTAGGTCAATAATTGCGCCGTGTTCACGAGGAAAGTGCAGCTCCAGAATGAGTGGACGGGAGCACACAGGTGATACGAGGAAAGACCATGTGAACGTCGAAGCACGTACTCGAACACGGGCTGTGCATATACCAGTCGGCGTGACGAGGTGGCCCCCTACCGTGCGCAACGGCGGTCCTTGCCAAGGGGTAGTTACCTTCCTCAGTTGGGATGTCAGGGCGCTGCTCATAACCGAATAATCGGCACCGGTGTTGATGAGGGCAGTGCCGACGTGATTATCGACGTGTACGGTGATGTCGGCGGAAACAGTCTTATGACTTTCGGAAACGACTGGAAAGTCAAAACGGTCTTCGTCGGGTCTTTGCGTTGAGGGGGGCTCTTTGACACTTAGTTGGGACGTGGCGTCACCCCCAGGAGCCGCGGTTTCTAGTTTACCCTGTGGGTACTCGGTGACCGGCGTCTGAAAGCATAAGATGACGAGGGAATGCTAGGTGACGTGGGGCGGCGAAGTGATGGTGATTGTGATTGGGGGCGTTGACCAAGGCGAGGAGCTTGCTGGCCCGTAAGGTACGCTTCGATGTCGTGGGGACGCTCACCGTAACGCGGGAACCGAGCATCAGGGTGAAAGCCACGGAGACAAGTTGGCGGTACTGGCAATTATGGTAGACGCGACCCGCTTCGCCACAGTGGTAGCAGAATGGACGGTTATCTGACGTACG